TCGTTTTTGAGCTAATGTATGATGCCTCGATCTTGCACGGAGGAAGGAAGGCTAAGCCCAGTTTATTGATTGCAACAATGCTTATGGAACTTCCTTTAGAGTGCTGTGGAAAACACTGCTCGTGCATGGATCCGCACCTTCCTGTGTGCGCCAGGCAGAAGCTGCACTGATCGGCCAGTGTGATGTGCGGTCCACTGCCCGCAGTTGCACAGAATCGTGTACGGGGTGCTACTTAAAATTGTATTAATTATTTGCAGGTGCTGTGCGATGCTTTTCACTTTCTGCTCTGATGCTAATTACTCGCTTGAAAATAAAAGTAGGTTGTAACTGAGCTTGGCTTTCCACTTTGAAAAATATAAAAAATATGGGTGTTGTGGTGGACCGTATTCTAGATTTGAAGCTTTCGTGACTGCAAGGATTCATATTCTTAGGTTTTTTCGGTAAAGTCAAGTAGGTAAAAAATTAAAATTAATAAAAGTAAAATAAATAAAAATACTTGATACAGCAAGGGTGCTGTGATGGTTCCACCTGAATACGGAAGCTTGTGTTGCCTCCAAAACGTCGTGATTTTTATTTTATTTTTATTTTACTTTTATTAAATGTGGACCGTATTGTGACTTTTTCAGCTCTAATCTGTCATAGATAAGTTACGTGAATTCAGCTTTTTGGAGGACCGCCATGGTTTTGTGTTCCATACCTTAACCAGTTCTAAATAATCTTTATTTTATTTTGCTCTTATCTTAAATTGACTACTGTAATGCACGGTGCTGTTTTTTGGGTCCCAATTGAAATGTTTACTAATTTTGCAAAACTGAAACCCTTATTTTTGCAAGTGCAAAAATGGGATTACATTTTCGCCACTCCTGAAGGAATTTCTTTCCCCATTTGAAAGAGAAGTACATGTAATAACCCCTTGCTAACCTCTACAAGGCTCCCTATATAGCGAGTACGTTTTTGGTTTGAGCATATGTTGCTGCCCAGCCCAAAAAAACACATGTGAACGAGAACACTCGATAACATGACAGACCTGGCTACATGACCATTTTTTTACCCTACTTCATGTTTACACAGAGGGGTGCTTAGATCAGCAAATAGCTAGCAGCTTCCACATGCGCAGTTTTGTTTCCTCATCAGCAATGTAAATGTTTGCTGGAACATGTGCCTTAAGTGTCACCAGATGAAACCTTTTTACTTATTTCAGACCTTATTTAAAATGCCAAACACCTGGTATGGTAATACGATTTACGTCGTTTTGCCAGTGTCGCACTTGTATTATTACTGTGCCATGACCTGCATTGCGTCGTCTCAACCTCGACTTGTGGCTGACGGCATCATCCAGCCTTTCTCGTATCTGTCGCCTCGGCCTTTGCCCCCACCTACCCTATGAATTGCTTTGAATTGACATCGTTTCGATATTCGTTGCACATTTCAGCAACGCATCGCCAACGTAAACCGGGGTATTGCTGTACCACTGTTTTCACCAAAATCTTTAGGTTATGTATTTGATCATTTTTCGATTTAAAGCTTTCGTGACTGCAGGGATTCATCTTCTTGGTTATTTCGGTAAAGTCACGTAAAAGGGAAGTAATAAAATAATAAAAATAAAGCATAATATTTATTATGTTTTATTTTTATTAGAAGATGTATTTGATCATGTTGATGCTCATGGGGTGAAGTGTTTTGGGGATTATGCTATCTGTGTGAGGTTTAAATGTTCAAACCCTTTTAGCACCTTTCTGCTGCAAAGGTATGAGGCACTGTATGCATAATATAACTGCGATTTAATGAGAGACATGGGCAAGGTACTTGTATCCCTTCAATCGATCATGCCTTTGTTTTTGCCCAGTTATTTTATTCCTGCCCCCCCCCCCCCCCCCCCCGTGTGCATTGCCGGCCTTCATAGGTGCTTGCTCACAGCACTTGCACCAACAGTCTGTTCAGGCTCGACAAGGAAATCCTTTGTCTTTCTAATTAACATCTGCATTTTTGTCTCGTGGGGGAAGTATATGGTTCTTTCTGATTTGGCTGCAGAGAATAACAGTGGTGTCCTCACCTAGTTTGTGTCTGAGAGGTTCTGGGAGGAGTTTTTGCTTACTCCAGTTAAATTGGAGGGAAATGTGTGTGCACCAACCCTCATGGGGGAAATTACTCGTTACATAAACAATACAGAACCCTATCGTACACAAGTATTTAAAACTTGGCGGTTTTTTTTGGATCCTTAGGGAATGTAACTTTATTATTCTGTGAGCTTTTATTCAAAGGCTGGTGTTAGCCTGTCTTATGATCGATGTTGGTTCACTGTCTTTCATGTTCATTATAGATTTGCATTCTTTTGTCATTTCGCATTTTCAAAGAATCCTCAAATATTAAGTTTTCATTAGAAAAAAAATCTAGTTTTGAGGAGTTGAGTGGCTGTTTTTTTTTACTCTGGTAGTCTACACAGTTCATCCGGGTGCTTGAAAGTGATATTCGGGCACCAGAAGTCGTGGGGAGCACACGGTGCCAGTGGTTCGCATGCAGAGGGCTTCTTGCTGCCACGTGCCTGACGATTGTTGGCGTCATGAGCACAGGTTGTCCTCTTGGCCAGGCTGTTTTGTGGGTTTGCGTTCCTGGGCTACTTGCGCAACGTGGCTTGGCGCCAGCCACCGCAGCCCCTTCACCTGCATGGTGCAATGTCGTGGCTATAGGTGCCTCCCGAGGGCTGGCCGGAGTCGTCGTGTTTCCGGCAGCAACTGAGCGTCTGTTTTGGCTACGAACTATGGCAGAGAAACCTGGTAGATGTTGTGATATCCTGAACCCAAATAAACACCCTATTGTTGTGAAATCGTTTCTCTGGAGAGGGTGCTGGATTAATATGAAATGTTATCGAATTTTGTAAGAATAGAAATGAAGAGGGGGGCGCGATATTCATTTGCATAAGTATTGTATAATAATGACGGTGATGTGGTTCCTGAAAGTGGTATTTTCTGCAAGTGTTTTTTGCTGCAAACAACCATTCTGCAAGTGCTCACAAATTAAATTATATTTTCTGCAAACGTGCCAACAGCAGCACCCCCATTATAAGCGTGTGGATTGGAGAAGAGTTCTTTTCGGTGCCATCGTTATTTGTGGTTTGGCAGTCGGCCCATTGCTCTGCTGCAGCTCTGGTGTGGGGTGGTCCATGTGAGAAGCCGTGGTGGCAACTGTGAGTGCCGTGGCCCGTAAGTGGCGCTGTAATACAAAGAGTTAAGACTGCTCAGAGTATAAAAATATGTTTTATTTTAATTTAAATTTTTAACCCACGTGACTTTACCGAAAGAACCAAAGAGTATAAATCCTTGCACTCACGAAAACTTCAAATCTAGACTGCTCGGAGTGATTGGCAACTCTCATTCGTTCCATGCATGGCGTGATTTTTGCGTTAGGTTTCGTATTTATCTTAAAAAATCGACACCATATTAAATACACTTATTTAATATCCTCAATTATCAACAACGTATTACATATGAGAGTAGGTTTTCCCCTTTTTTCTGGCAACAAAACAGGTGTTAAGATGTTGAACCACCAAACTGAAACCTTTTACAAGGAATCATGTCTGCATTAACCACAATACTTGTGGTTAGAATGCAAACAAAAAAGTACTCTGATAATATATGCATTGTCTTTGAAACTGATTGGTCCACATCAGAGATCGCTTTCTTTTGAGCCTAGCCTTTTGGCATCCTTTGGTCTAACACTGTTTTGAGACGAGGCTCAAAAGAAAGCTATCTCTGGTGTGGACCAATAAGTTTCAAAGACAATGCATATATTATCAGAGTTTTTTTTTACATTCTGACCACAAGTATTGTGGTTAATGCAGACATGATTCCTTGTAAAAGGTTTCAGTTTGGTGTTTTAACATCTTAACACCTGTTTGTTGCCATAAAAAAGGGGAAAACCTTTTCTCATATTTTGGTACTGGCAAAGGAGGTCCCATGATGTAAACGTATTAAACAATTTTCAAGAATTCAAACTATTACATCAGTTGCACATATTAAAATAAGTTATAGGTTTGCCGATCCAGGGCACATTAAATCAACAGGTATAAAACCTTCATTTATCAAACATACATTTTTGTGCGTTTAAATGTCGTTTTTTACTGTATTTAAAATCAAACAAAGCAACGGATCATGCCATATCCATGTGCTTCAAATGAGCAGATTTCTCTAAATGCATTTGCATTGGAACTGAACCAGTCTCGCCCACTAGGGGGTGTGCTTGGGAGGAGATGCGAGTTTAGGAAATGTGGGACATTGGATTGCTGTATTCAGGAAGAATAGCGGTGTTTTTCACTGCTATTGATTGACTTGTTTATTTTTTGTTCACGCGTTCCACATTCAAAGTGTGTGTGGCTGTGCCTATCAGTCTAGTGTGAAGAGCGTGGTGACTCTCTTGTAAAGATGATCGAATATGCATCAAACCTGTATATATAGCCTCTTGTTTCAACAGTCCTTTCTTGTTCAGTAGTTCTATGTCTGTATTTGTCTACCTGATGACTATTGCTTGTGTTGCGATCAACGCCGTAATTTATTTATTTTTTCTACCTACGTGACTTTACCGAAAGAACCAAAGAGTGTGGATTCCTGCAGTCACGAAAACTTGAAATCAAATAAAGAATGCATCAAACTGCAGTGTTTAGTATCGCTATTAGAGCTCCCAATTTGAAAGCCGACCAAAATATGGAGAAAAAACCAGAGCTATAATGACCATTTACAATTAATGCAACTCCTTTTGCTTTTACAGCTATCCATCAGCTTCCAAACCACTGGTATGTTGGCAAGTTATTTGATGTATGTATGTTGAACTTTTGCACCATATGTAGCCAACCGTTCTAATCGGATTTGCTGCTGTGGTGCAAAAATAACAATTTGACACCATTCGTTAATAATACTGGATTTCAGAAGTGGGCCGCAAAGCCATAATCTGCTTTATGAATGTTTGTGATCCTACAAGTGTGATAACACTCCTCCTCCTCGTTGCAGGACCTGAGCTCATTTGCCATGCCTGGGCTGGAGATGGAAGCAACCAGCAGGGAGAAGGAAGCAAAGGAAGCGAGGGAAGCAAGCAGCCGGGAGAAGGAGAGAGGATATTTCCACATGGTACCAGACTTACTTGGCACACCCATGCATGAACCAACAGCCATCACTTGCGATACCACAACTCTCACCTGCTACCCCTCAATCATCGCCACTGCTAACATGAACTCAATTTTACACATTATACAAATGTATCGATTAGTTTTATCTTCCACCATTCGACTTGTATTATTTTTGAATGTTGAATAAAAGACCCTATGTCAGCCTGAAATGCCGTATGTTATTGGTAGGTGTCACTTGCTGTACAAATGTTGTTATCGTTTGTTCAATGAAAACGGTTCTGGGCTTAATGACCATTGACTGAAAACTGTCCACAGGTATGATTCCACATTGGTGTACTGATGTTGAATCCATGCAAATGGTTATCTTAGAATATCCGAGGTGGGCAAAAGCATTGCTGGATCAAAGCCATTATGATGTGACCATGGACTCGCACAACTATGTAACAGGAAATACTGGATGTTCATCTTCCAGGAAAACATTGGAAATAAGTGAATCTGGTGGAGGTAGTGCTCCTTGGTTGAACTAGTCTCGGTAGGATGGCACGCAGTGGCGGCTGGTTTGATTGGGGAGCTGAGGCTGTGGCCCACGTAAATTAGCTTTTAATTGATCACTTTCCCAAAATGTTGTACACTATTTTAATTTGTAAATATGTTTATAAAATTGACTTAAGTTATTGACTTTAAAAAATTTAAATAACATTTTTAAAGGTTGAATTTAGAATCCTATCCAGGGCACAGTCTTCTCGTGCCCCAGGTTAGGTGGATATTTCTGTGCCACTTTGACCGGTTCGATGCATTCCTCCTTCTAGATTTGTTCTAGATTTGAAGTTTTTGTGACTGCAAGGATCCGTACTCTTGGTTCTTTCAGTAAAGCCACGTAGGTAAAGAAAATACAAGATAAAAACAAATTAAATCACCACGTTTTGGGCGCAACACAAGCGTCCGTCATCAGAGGTGGGGACAACCACCGCAAGAAACAATTGCTGAAGTCGGCCAGGGGGGGGCTGATTGTGACAAGGGATTATATAGATGAGGAAGGGGGGAGGAGCCAAGGGGAGTGTGGGGGTGGGGCGTGGATCAGAGGAGAGCGGCAAACAAGATCCCAATGATGAGCCCACAAAAATTGAGCGGCTGCTTAATCACATCCATGGCCAATCACAAATTGTCATTTCAAGGTCATCTGCTTGGGCTTGCGCCTCTGGCTCTTAGCCCTTTCTCTCTCTCGAGTCTCCTCTAACTGTATCCTCCGTTTTTGCAAAATATTGTCATTGTAATATCTTTGCTCAATGTTTTTGAATAATTAATTTCCTCAATATTAATTGAATACAAATGATTAAATTTGGCCTATCATTGGCTATATGAAAATGGCTTTTACCAATTAAACTAATGTTATTTTTACATTTCTGGATAAGTTGAAGGCATTGTTATATTGTACAGATTTTGAAATTTGTAATCTATACCGTACTCGTCATTTACTGTACAACCTGAGTTATTGTAATTAATTTCTTATACCCGCGAGCCCCGCTTCCAACCCCTGTGCTGCTGGGACCACCCCACCAAAAATTTGAGCCACCAATCGCCACTGCTGGAACGCTTTTGCAATTGATGGATCTTTTTGTGGTTGCGATCGCGGTCTAAGGGTGCCTGTTGTGAAATGGTTGTGCAATGCTGAAACACGAGCACCTGTACAGTTGGACATCACTAATGTGGTTGTTGCTAATTAATATTTGTACCAGATCATACACGTGAAAAGTCATGGCATAGTTCTGCCTGACACACCACTTTCCCTTCGTCATTCCCAATCACTGCCACACCAATTCATCCTGAATGTTATTATCACCACACCCACCTCCCTCAAAGATGACGTCTACACTGTAGAAGAAACCCCATGTTTGTGGAATGGTCTGTAATAAATATTAATTACGCTTTGGTTCTTTTGGTAAAGTCACGTAGGCAGTGGAAACTGCTGGATTATTTTATTTTTCCGCCTGAGGACGATCGCTTGTGTTGCGATCGAAACGTCGTGACTTTACCAAAAGAACCAAAGAGTATGGATTCCTGCAGTGATGAAAGCTAGAGATCAAAATATTAATTAAAAATATCTATCATTCCTGTCGCAGTTCTATTTAGTTGACCAATATGTTTTTGGGGCTTTGCCGTTTTTCTCGTAAACATGTTGACAATGTTTTTCTGATGTAATGCAATTTTAGCTCCTGAACACCATGTGAGGGATTAGTCTGAGCTCAGACCATATATTTCACTTGTTAGTACCACCTCGGGTGGCATAATTCTTAGTCATTCCAGTTTCGTTGTGTGGCCAATAACAGTGAATTGTGACAATCTGAAACGAGTGAAATTCGAATTTTACACCTAAAAATCCGTTTTTCTGAAAGTGACAGTCCCTCGACTCTTGGCATGGCACAGCCTCTTATTATTGTACTGATAAAAGGTTGATGGAGAAGGGCTGTTGCTAGAGTGTGTGTATACTCAACAGAGGCAAAAACACGTCCAATACATGCAGTAATACAAGCATGTTACTGGTAGGAACCTCATGGTTACACCAGCCCACGGGATTATTGTGTCCGTCGTGCAGGGAGGGGCTGGGTGTGGAGGGTGGGGAGGGGCTGGGTGTGGAGGGTTGGGAGGGGCTGGGTGGGGAGGGGCTGGTCACTCCGCGTGGTGCCCTTATAAAACTCAACGTTTAACCGACTCACACCGGCTTGTGCCCGCCCTCACAGTCGGCCATATTTGCGGAATACTCCATGCCGCCGTTGACCCTGGCCATTGACCGAGCAACCCAACGTTCCTACCAGCTCCTTCCGCAGGAATGTGTTTACGAGACATTTAAGAAGTCGCACTTGACTTAATTTAAATAGCTTTTCCATAAAGGATAGTCATTACAAACTCTAAAACATTGCCAATTGGCCAGAGGGGGGCATGAAATAATAATGCTGCCCCCAAGTGCCTCTGGTTGGAGTTTCTGTTGTTGTTGGGTATCTCTATTCATGACATGGGTCATGAATTAAAATCGTACTGCTCATACTTCACTGCACTTGGAACATACTTTCCATGTTGCAAGAGCTGTGCTGGTGGTTGCAGCTGTATGCTGTTAACACTGGTTATAAGGGGCACAGTCCAGGCTGTACCCAGGGTTGTTTGTCACTTGTAGGATTTAAAGGCACGTGTTTGCTTGCAGACAGAAAATTTGTGTTTTATTCACGTTGCCTCTGCATTTCAAAGGCACCTAGGGCTATTACTTGACAAGGGTGCATTTCTGCTGTTGTGTTAGCAGTCTGTGGAAATTGTTTGTTTTGCCTTTTTACATATGAACTTCGTTGACACCGTACATAGCCAACCGTGCTAATCGGAGCTCGTGCAGTATAGGGAAAGGAAAACATGTGGGATGGATGGGAAAATCACTGAAGTAGTCTTGCACAGATCTTTGCAAAAGTCACAGCAATATTTGTAGCACTCAGGTATTATATAATTTTCATTCGAGCATTTATTCAATGACACACTTCCTTTTACATTCCAAAATACATTAACTTGAATTGCTGTTTGTACAAAATTATAAAGTCTCAAAGTGCTCTTTTTAAATACAATCGACAAACTTGTTTCCAAATATATTCATACCTCTGTGCAAAATTAAACCACAAACTGTGATTATGTCCAGTATTTGTGCAAACCAAGATCCTCATGTTAGGGTGCCTCGTCAGATTAGTGCCATGAGCACTGTTTTCCTAGTAGTGCTCGGTGCTGCTGTTGCAATACGCTGTCAAGCACGCCAGCACGTAATTGGTTCCGTGTGCATCAAACGGCGAATAATCCAGCGCTTATTGGTGCGGGGAGGGAGCGCTGCATATTGGAGCCCCTGAGTCTTAAAGAGAGCCATTGTACCCCAGGGCACGTTGTGCCGAGGGCCGTGTGCGCAACGTTCCGGTGCCACGTGGGGAACTGCGTGCAGTCTCTGCTACCATGCGCACGGAGAGCTCTGTAAGCGACTGTTTTCCAGCATGCACGGCACCGCACACATCACCAGCAAGGAAGGCATCGCAATCACGCGCGCAGCAGCAGCACCGCCACACACAACTCTGCCACTGCCTGGGATGGCAACGCAACACAAGGCAGCAGCAGCAACATGCATGGTAGAATGTAGCTTGTCTTGATTTTGGCTGAAGAAGACATTTGTTTTGATATCTCATCTTTGATAGATGTATATAGCTTCTTAGTCCAATGTGATATACAATAATTATAAAATTGTACATTAGATAACAGTGAATAAAATAGTGGTTATTAAAAGTGTTGGTGTAGTTATGGTGAGAGTAAGGAGGACCGGTAGAAGTGGTTGGGGAGGGGTGGGTAGGGGTAATGCTAGGGATTTGGGTAGGTCGTACCTAGGGGGGCTGGGCGGGGAGTCGCAGTAGGATAGGGAAGGGAGAAGAGATGAGTTTAAAGGGGAGAATGGAAGCAGGTTGGTGAAGATTATTTTATATGCAGTGGGAGTTGGTTCCAGTGAAGGGGCGCAAGAAGGGAACCGGAACGAAAGCGTGACTGGGCACAGGGTGAGTGCAGAGATGTAAGAAATACAACTTTGAGGCTTGTTAAATAATGTACCTTGCCAACTATAAAATCGGCATTGCAATGTCTTTAAATTGTATTTTATTGAACAAGTATTGTTTGTTGATTTACATAGCAGACTCTTGAAGCTCATTCTATGCTGGTTGGAATTTTATTTTCATGATCACATGTTCACTCTGTGCGGTACGCCTATAACATGGACTTGGAACCTTGCATCCTTTATGATATTTTTTACAACCTTGTCTTTATATGGAATGTCATATTTGTGCCTAAATTTGTTTATGTTTTACATTGCCTCGGTTTGCGTGGCCTGTGCCATTTTTTTGGCTCCCTCCCAGAATCTTGCTGGACTCCTGAGCCATGCGTGCGATTTCCCATTCCGACGGATTCTCCTTCCCTTGCTTTCTACGACTAACATTGCGACTTCGGCAGTTAAAATTTGATGGTAATAAAAATATAATTGTTGTGGCTTGGATAAGTATTCCCGTTCACCCTGTCATCGCATTTATTTAATGTTTGTATTTCACAATGGTTGTGCACTTTGTCGCCAGGTGTCCCTTTTTTTTACCACTGAAGTTCCCCCTTTGTTTTCCAGGACATGGGCCGCAGAAGAGTGGAACGCACGGTGAGTAATGACGGAGACTCAAGCATGCAACCCAAATCGCCTACCTCCCCACTGAGCCCCCGCGGCGCAGAGGGAATCGCGGGGCCTTCCTCCCCGCGGCACAGGCCCAACTTCGCCGGCCTCATTCGCCCAGGCCATCACTACAGGGAGAGGGGTGCCACGAAGGAGCCCCAGCACAAGGATTGCAGCCAGGCGCAGCAGCTGGTCTCCACGTCCCCTCTGGGAGCACGGTTGTTGAACCGCAGCAAGAAAGGTGGGTTTAGTCTTGGTGCGTGTGCTGTTTTTGATCCTGCGCTCCATGAAAGGGGATTAATGTAATCTTGCATATGTTTAGGGTCAAGCGTGCACGGTTGTGCCCGTGCACTCACATGGTCATATGTAGCCCCCACACATTGGCATGCCTTGCGTTTCTCAAAACAAACACTTTGTGCAAAACATAATACTTGGATTTAGCCTTTTAAAACTTGATTTGAAGCTTTTGTGACTGCAAGAATTACTCTTTGGTTCTTTCGGTAAAGTCACGTAGAAAGAAAAGAAATTAAATAATTGAATACGACGTTTCGATTGCAACACAAGCAGTCGTCATCAAGTAGAACTAAATTTGAGAGACAAAACACAGACGCTCTGTCTCTCTGCTTGTGTGTCTGTCTGTGTGTCTCCGTGCCTGTGTTTTGTCTCTCTCAAATTTAGTTTTACCCGATGACGACTGCTTGTGTTGCAATCGAAACGTCGTATTTGATTATTTAATGTATTTTCTTTCCACACGACTACCGAAAGAACCAAAGTTTTGCCTTTTCCTCCACTCTCCCAGTCTCGCTTTAATAGCTTGCAGTTGCATGTATTGAGTAGTAGTACAGCCAATATCTACTTTGCCTTCTGATTTTGCAGGGTACAACTTATTTTAATGCTTTTCATCTGAGATTAAATAGTGTTCATGCATTGGCTCTATCCATTTGTCTGTAAATAGAGATCACTAACTCTTGTAAAGAGAATCCAATGTAAACGAAATATTATTATGAAGTTCTGTTTTCTCTTAGTGATTTAATTTATAGACAGCCAAGCAATCTAACACGCATTCGCCATAACTCTTCGACAAGGATTCTGAAATAAAAAGTACCATGCATGCAGAAAAAGAATACATCCATAAATAGATAAGTCTATGAAATATACTATAAGAACCGCCATTCGCCACTAAGTGGCGGTAACGTCTCCGCGGCGCTTGTGCCGGTTATGTGCACTTTTTTATGGCCCCGTGAAGCGTCGAACGTTTGCTGGCAGGAGGCCATGGAACAGACCCAGGTATCGTACCATGGGTTGACGAACTGAGATTACCGGCAGATGCACCACCTGTGCCCCCTACTGTGGCAAATTTGTGTGTTTTTTAGCTGCCCGGCGCTCCGCTCGTTGTTGCGAGAGTTGCTCCTCTGCCCTCCGCTTTGCTTTCTTATTTTTATCAAACAAGTGTGCAAGCAGATGCATAAATGCAATTTCAACACTCTCCGATGGTGCTGGCTCCATAGAGGAGCAGTGCCAAGGAAATGTGCCCCCTCTCGGCCAGCACTCTGTTTACTTAGTTAGGCATCGTGCAGCTTCTTCCCAATCACTTGTCTGTCGACCAGTGGTGCATACTCGGGCAATGGGAGTGGTCCGTGGAACTGAATACAATAATTCGTTTTGGACAACACACATCTTCTTCACTGCATGGTGATTCGTGGAAGGGTTGGTGGTGCATGGGTCCAGAACGTTTGTGGAACCGCTGGATTATACGATGCTGCTCCTTCCCCGATTGGTGGTGGTGTGACTTGCCGATTGGCGGATACATGCACTCAAAAGCCATCTCTCCTGCTGCTAGTCTGTTCCACCACTGAAAACCCAGCTTCCTCCAGATTCATTCTGAAATGTAAATTAGTTTTGTTGTAAGTGCACTTAAATCGCTACTTGATGTGATCCGTGAGGGCAACACTGCCAATCTTTGATGGGATGGTTTTGATGGCATTTCCACTTCGTACGCCGAGTTGATGGACACTGGCGCTTACTAATGGCGCTTGGAGTCTCGGCAAGGTAGACCATGGTTGCTGTGCTCTTTTGTCATGCGCGTGACAGGGCATGGACAGAGTGCGACCTCGTCTACTGCGGCATCCTCCTCTTCCCGCCCTCCGCGTGTTGGGTTCCCGCTGGAGGCGTACGACCACGAGCCGAAGCGGCCGGAGTTCCGCCGCCGCGCGTACTCGTCACCTCCCGAGCCCAGCCAGCGCCCACGCGCCTACACATTGGTTGGTTGTGATTGCCGACCCGTTTTAATAATAAAAACGCCTTGTGGCATGTACGCATGGGAGACGTAGAGCACGCACGTACATCGGGAACGTTTCTGCAGGCTGGGGGCGCACAGGGCAGTTGGTGTGTACACGTGCATACAGAGCAGTCGCGTGTACATGGTAATGTTCCCACTTTTGATGTCGGCAGGAGATGCTTCCTGTGTGGCAGAAGTGTCCATTGGAAAAGCTTTCTGGACAAATCTGTAATGGCAGTTATCGTTTTTCTAAAGTTAATGTTGAGTAATCGTCATAAAAACAAGTCTGCAGAACGGTGGTACAGTGGTTAGCACATGATCGTGATTAACATGGTGGCTGGCGTTCAGTTCCAAATATTAGAAACCAGTCAAGGCTCCTCACCTCCACTCCTCCCCTTTAAAACCATGTGCCAACACACTGAAGTATGGTCAACCACCCGTGACCAACACGTCATTTGAGCAGTGACTTAACAAAGGGGTGTAAATTAATATTTATCCCAAAATAACAAATTATTATAGTTGAATAATATTGATATAAATAGTGATAAGGGAATAAAAGGACATACTTTTCTGGTGCTTTTTTAGATGAATTGTACAAGTAAATAAATATTTACTTTTGCAAGGGATGTTAATGATATCGATTAGGTCACTGATGTGAATGGACGCCACACCAATTTCTCTGTTAATGTTTAGGACAACAAGCGCGGTATTATGCTAGCTTTCATCACTTTCACGTTTCTTTGCCCTATGTCTAAACAATAGAAGTAAGTACATGCTTTACTAGTTTTCATCTCGCTCAATAAATAACAAAGTATGTATACGACCATCGTGTAATACAATATAACAACACTAGCATTTAATATACTGCCAATGTTTGATATATTTATACACACACTTCAATAGAGCTCTTTTCATTAAAGGGCTTTTTAGTCTGATCGTAGCTTATGGTGGAAGGCCAAATGTATGATCTTGAAGCCACAAGGGTCCCCTTGTATGTTGTGGTACATCAGGAATGGATGGTATACACATTTACAGGCCTTGAAGAACTGTCAAATGTATTTGGTTAACCTCAGTTTAATAATGGTCCCTGCCTAGGCACACCGCCACTTTGCTTTGAGAAGCAACTGGATGACCCTATGGACTTGATTTTTGTTTGTATTTGGAAGCAACTTTTGATGTCCATATAAATAACAATTTAAACTGATGAGCATATCTACTTTATTAAGTGGTTAACACACTTTTTTAAAACATTTAACTTACCAATGTATGTTTGACCATGTTTACACTACATTTGTGATAAAATTCGATCTTGTTTACCTACATTCTGACTGACAGATTTCAGCTTTTTGAAAGCCTAATCCCAAGATATGTTCTTAAGATTTCCCATCTCTGAACTGATTTACATTCCATAAAAAAAAAAACTGTCACAACTAATTTGCAACGAAACGGTGCTCCATGTTTCTTGATGACCGGGAACAACATTCAAAATGTTCACTTTCCGTGTCTGCCCAGAGAATCAAAATCAGAATCTTTATTTAGACTGGAGGAATCTGAGCTATTAACCACTTTTTTACCAATGTCCAGTAGGGGCGGGTCAGAAAAAATGATAGGCCCTGCGGTACAACTAGTCTTGCTCTTATTCTGTAGGTCCTGAGTGTACTGTAAAAAGTTTAATTTCCAAGCCTCCCTTATTCTTAGGCTTAAGCTTTACATCAGAAATTATGTACATTTCAATATATAATTGCCTTATGCTTGCTTGTACTTGCTCATACTCGGGTACCTTCCGGCCATTGTTTACTGGATTTATTTGAGCTGTTCCGAGTGTCTGGGTGTCGGTAATGATGGTGGGGGGGGGGGGGGCAGTTCTCAGGAATGTGTCTGCTTCTGTGAGCTTGAGGACAGACCCATTTATCTTCCCGTGGAGCCACTCGGCATTGCGGCTCGCGCTCTATTTATAGCCTTGCTGCTGCGCTGATTGGTCGAATGTCCCTTGAGCAGCGGTGTGGTTGCGTGTGGACTCCGAACCATGGGGCTGCAAGGGCGATGCTTCCTTTGTCGCCATTGAGTTTCGCAGCGGAGTCTCGCCGTACACTCCTGGAGCGGCGTGTGTCAGATTTTGGTTGATGCTCTGCGTGGGAGAGCTGCTGTGTGTGCCTTCCACTTGTTTTCTTGGTGCGACCCCCCCCCCCCCCCCCCCCCCCCAGTACTGCGTGTCGTGTGTATTTTGTGCGTGTGGCACGCACCTTCGGGGCCATGTCATATGCTGTTAATAGTGCTTTGCTGTGTCCTCGGCAGAAGGGTTGCGTTTTGTATCGAGTATTGCATCGGCACCCTGCATGCATGGCGAGAGTCCATTTACACGAGGTGGCTGGTGGTCCTCTGTCTGTGGCAGGAGCATCGCTTGGCTGACAGGTCAGAAATCATGCTGGAGAAGCTGACCCTGGAGGAAACGCGTGAGTAGTTCTCCCACTTCTTGTGGGGCCGTACCCATTACTTGTTATTGGTGGTGTTCTTAACAATGGATGAGCAAAATAGCTTTTATGTGTAAAAAGAACACGGCTCTCAGTTGTAATATCAATAGATTACAATGCCTAAATATATTATTATTTTTTTCAGATTACCCGAAATTGTTAATGCACGGATTTATGGTGAAATGTCTGAAGCACTTTTTAGTATCCTATGTTACCTATGTGTTCAAAAAGTAGTGACGAGGCAACTTGTAAAATAATTGCCTGCAACCCATGTAGTTCGCTTGAGGCTGTGATGCATATCTAATGGGATGTCGAAGTGCTCTTTCTTGGCTGTGCCGAGCATTGGTGCCGCCGTGTGCATAGTGTGGTTGCTCTCCATGTCACTGTTCGCTCCATGAAATATAACACCATCTTTTATATCCAAAAAGGAAAATGTCTGAATGTCTAGGACTCTGTGAAGAATGCCTTTTTGTTGTATGGGAGGTTTGGCCAATTTACATTGACTGTGTGAGGAAGCAACCAGAGCTCTTGCAAAACTTTCTCACTCAAGCATGATAATTAATGCTCTGTTTGCATCCCTGAGCCAATTGTGTGGTAGGCATGAGTGCATGTACTGGACAACAATTGTTGCCTTGCCACCACAAACTTGTACTCTGGTAATCGGCTGCAGAGGATTAAAGGGCTAAGTTCGATGTATGGCAACGACTTGAACTCAAAACCTTCCAATTGTGAATTTCAAACACTGCATTTGTCCAATGAATAGCCATTCCATTTTATATTATACAATGAACATAATTTTATCTGCATGTTAGCTGAGACTCTAGGACCCACTTTAAAACAAATAGGCTGACCTTTTTGTATCGTTGTCGCAGCCTCTCTTCCTCCATATACAATTAACAACTTGACGCTTCTGTCAACAGCTGACTTGAATAGAAACTTTATAAGAGGTGACTTTTCGGGAAATAGCCATTCAGAGGCCCTCCAATTTAGCACTGTTGACTACGTATGTTGTGAAAAGAAATTCGTACGTAGAGGCCATAAAGGTTACACAGTGCACTGGCCCCTGCTGTGAAGAAGGGCAATTACCTGAATTATATCTATGATATACTTTTTTAAGGCCATGTTATTGGCGAATGTGTGTTTTTGTTATCAAAAATAAATTACCACCTTATTTATCACAAAGGTAGATGCTTCCTTAACAGGCAGGCTTCCCCTGTGTGCAGAGCTTGTCTGCTAGAAGCCCAGTGGTCACGGCTGCTGTGTTGTGTATTATTAGCCTGTTTAACACGTAGGCTTTCACGACCAATATCATCCATAATATAAGTATTTTTTGGGTTGGATCGCGTGAATATATAAACGTGTCGTTAAAACCCGCCACCACCTGACACGGCCAACTCGTAAGGGTTGTCACGTAAACAGAACAGGTGTGTACAGGATTAACTGCACGTGTGGTAAATGTTATGTTGGCAAACAGGACGAATGATCAGCACGAGACTAAAAGAACATCGGAGAAATATTGAATTATCCCAAATACAGCTGTCGGCAGTAGCAGAACACGCGTGCCAGTGTGAGGAAACAGGCAATTTTGATAATGTTGAAGTTTTGTGCAAAACTAGCTACTACGGGCCAAGACTAATTAGATAATCTATCGAAATTGAAATAACTTTAACCGTTCGGATAGCTACTGCCTTAGTGCTGCGTGGAAGCGAATCATCAAATAATCCATTTTTAAATGCATGCCTACAAAGGGCAGCATACTTCAATACGGATTACCGTTGGTAGGAATATTTTTTAATACAAACAATAGACAGGAAGGACAAGATCAAAGGGCTCGCAAAATGTACATTGTCACAGTAATCGCCCCCCGCCCCGCGCAGAAGCGTGGTCACCACATCTACGCCTCTATATAAGGAACGAAACAGTTATACTTCCCCACAAATCTGGTTGTCGCCTGATGAAGCTAGTTGTAATTACTGGCGAAACGTACGTACTCGCATTGGAAGTTTTGTGGATTGGCTCTCCAGCACACCGGTGTGCCGTACTGGTGACGAATTGGTATGTTCTGTTTGTGACAACCCTTACTAGTTGGCTGTGTCAGGTGGTGGCGGTTTTTGACGACATATTTACGTGATCTAACCCAAAAAGCCTCTTATGGATATTATTATTCTGCCACTTCACTGGAGGATGAAAAAGAATTTCAAATCTGCAGTGTTCATTTTATTTTGTTTACTCGTCATAACATTTTAATCTTACTGTTTACGTAAAAACTGTTTACTTTGACTAACTTTCTGAAAAAGTTTATTGTCCTGATGGTAGTATATATTTGTTTGTGATCAACCAGATGACATTTCATGAGTTTCCCAATAAAAAAGACGATGGAGCAAAAATTCCACAGCATCAGCACATCGGCATTCGTTTTTGTGCCTTATATGCTTATCGAAAGCGCACTTTATTCGGCAGGGGTGTTATTTTTTAACTGTGTGCTCGCTCATCTGTGATTTGCCATGCATTAGGCACAATCGGCTCATTGAGGCAGATCACACACACACATACCAATTTATTTTCCCTTTTCTGGCTACGATTGAAGGAGTGAGTGTGGCTGGCATCGGTGCGTTTAGGAGTAAGTGGCCTGATGTCTGACGGCAGTTAAAAGGTCCCCCAAGGACAAAGAAGCTCTTGCCCTAAAAAAAGCTGTTGCGTAGGCCAGCTTAATGCACGTTTATCCCATCGGGCCACTCGGTTACATCTTACGAGCCAACACACATTATTAACTGAGAAAAGCATTGAGCTAGAAAACATGTAGGCGTGAGCTTCGTCATACTTCATGGGACCTCTGTTGCCTGTACCAAAATCTGATAATGGGGTTTTTTCCCATTTTTTCTGGCAAAAAAACAAGTGTTGAGATGTTAAGTCACCAAACTGAAACGTTTTACAAGGAATCATGTCTACATTAACCACAATACTTGTGGTTAGAATGCATACAAAAAACGTACTCTGATAATATATTCATTGTATTTGAAACTGATTGGTCCACATCAGAGACGGCTTTCTTTTGAGCCTAGCCTTTTGGCGTCCTCTGGTCTAACACCGTTTTGAGACTAGGCTCAAAAGAAAGCGGTCTGGTGTGGACCAATCAGTTTCAAGGACAATGCATATGTTATCAATGTTTTTGTTTTCATTCTGACCACAAGCATTGTGGTTAATGCAGACATGATTCCTTAACACCTGCTTTGTTGCCAGAAAAAAGGGGGAAAAACATCTATTATCAACGTCATACTTGTTATTATAGAAATGATTACATTGGAGAGAATTGTAACATCCCGAAATTATCACCAAATTGTGTTTTTGAGTGAAATATAAAAGTGTTAATTTTTTTTCGAGTGTTGGTAGTGGACACTCACCTGACAATCTGTCACTAAGCCTTAGTGTGGTCGCTTGTTCACATAACACCCAGCACAACGGAAGAAAGACAAGACAAATATCTCCCATAGCCTCAACAAACTTTTCGGGCAAGTGCCCTTCGTGTACCAATGAATGCCGGCACCCCTTTCTCTGCCTAGTGGTGATGTTTACACACTGCGCCTTTAACTCATTTGAGGCCGACTCGACCTATGTTAGGCCCAGGACTGTGTTTCAGATAATCGTCACTGGCATTGCGCAGGAGCGGGAATCGAACTCTTCGCTGGGTTCGTAGTGCAGCCTGTTTAACCACTGCACCACCGCTCTCCGAGCAGAACACACCCCCTTGATTCTTATTTTGAAATGTGGTATGACGTCTTCCCTATTTAGCCATTTGGATTTTAGTTTGTAGTGATGTAACTAGCATTCATCTCCTGTCAATCGGCAGAATGATCACATTGACTTCTGCAGATTGGTCCGCTTGTGCACATCTGTCAACCTCTGGGGCACATAATTTATTGATATTAAATGCAAATCTCAAGAGAAGGATACATATAGATCCCACCCCTGCCCCCCACTGCGATTCCTCGATCGAGGTGATCCATCGGCAAGCTTGCGAATGGATGGCTCTATAGTGGTGTCTTCAGGATTTACTGGGACACTCTAAATGGAGATGAAAACCGCAGTTGATTCTGCTGGCCCAAAATTGAGCCAAAAGGTCTCTGTTCTCATTCCCTCCCTGGCTCTGCTTGAGAGTGACATTTAGTCGCTCCCCTTAGGCCCAGATGTTCTCAGCCAGATCTATAATTTATGTATATTATTAGTTTGGATGTGCAGTTACGATACTTCTAGATTTTAAGCTTTCGTGACTGCAAGAATTCATACTCTTAGGTTTTTTCAGTAAAGTCATGTAGGTAAAAAATAATAATACAAAATACTAATAATTGTTATTATTTTATTTCTATTCTATAAATAATAATAGGAAAATAATAATTTTATTTCTATTAATATTTTTTTATTTTTTACCTACGTGACTTTACCGAAAAAACCTAAGAGTATAGTTACGATACTCCAGAATTATTATCTTTTATCATTTTCAGCTTGCTTGCATCGTATGGTAACACGTGTGTGTGTGTGTGCGTGTGGATCTGTCTGTGTTTTTGTAGAGGGTTCCCCAGATACTGCTTACGTGAGGTTCATGAAGTCGCGCAAGTGCTACGACATCATTCCCACCAGCTCCAAACTCGTCGTCTTTGACATCTCCTTGCAGGTCCCATTGACGCATACTACCGCACGTGGCAGTGCCTTTATCTCTCTTCTGTGTCATGTGTGTGTCTCTCATATCGCTTGTGCCTCCTGTCACTGCTGCTGAATGCATCATCTTGTTATATCATCCGAGTGCATCTAATGCATCTCCTATTCTCTTGATTTAATCTGAAACATCTGTGTTCACTCTTCCTATAATTTTAACAGAATAAAAAATAAATGGGTTAATTGATGGATCATTATCCATCTAGTGTGAGTGCACAAGCATCTGGTATTGGGGGGTGTGTGTGTGTGTGTGCGCGCGCACTGCGTTATGCTGATGTGGTGACGTATGCTGCAGGTGAAGAGGGCTTTCTTCGCCCTCGTCTCCAATGGAGTGAGGGCAGCACCTCTCTGGGACGACAAGATGCAATGCTTTGTGGGTAAGAAATGCATCCACTTGTTTACTCGCACTGCAACAAACGAATTTGATGATGGCCAGTGGATGAAACGTGTCGATTGGCAACCAATGGAGGGCACCTGCCCGAGAGGACGACCATCATAGAAATGGGGCACTGAGATGCTTAATGGACAGAAGTGAAGAATTATTATGGTGAGACATGGCGACGAGTTGGCAAGGCCTTCATCCGGCAGTTGATTAATCATGGCTGATGAGGATTAGAAACTCGGGATATTGTGTATCAAAGTGGTACATGTGCACATGACTTTTCCTCTGTCTAACTCAAGTGACCTACAATTGACCATGCATTCAATGAAGATTATTTGTTCCACTACACTAATTTTATCAAGTTAATTTAATCTATTGTGTCCTCCAGCTTTGTTTTGCACTGTTCTCGAGACCTGACAGTAGTGTGTTTTATAAGACAAATAAAATGTTTCTAAAGAAATCGTAATGGAATGCAACACCGTTTTTCTGATCGGTTTGGGTGAAAGTGTGTTTACAAAGTTGAAATATAATTCAGTCTGACACATACCTTGCTGTTCTTTTGGGAGATTGGGTGAGATGCCCTTTTGTGTTTTAACTCATGTTAGCCATTTTTATTTTCACAGGAATGCTGACAATTACAGACTTCATTAACATTCTTCATCAATACTACAAGTCTCCAATGGTAAAACACTGCTGTAGGACAGTGCCGCAGCATTACATAACCGTTGGTAAAACGATGATTGTCCTCGTGAGGGACAATTCTAATTCCAATGACCTCCTTTGTGAGAAGTTAAAACTGCTTGTTCTTTGGGTACACTAGCCGCTGCCATAATATTTATAAAATGCCACCACTGGCCTGGATCTTGCAATGCAGATGAGAGCCATCCCACGTTTTTTGCAAGGAGAAACTTTTGTTTTTGTTTACGTTACTAGGGCAGTGAATGGTACCAGTTATTCAGCACTGAAAGTCACACTGCTCCTGGTTGTTGGGTTGTGTGTACAGCCCTTGGATTAACCTCATCTGATGTATAACAGCTCGGAATGTAGGGATGCTAAGAAGTAGTGACTCTCTTCCCATTTGCAGGTGCAAATTTATGAACTGGAGGAACACAGGATCTCAACTTGGAGAGGTAATTTGTGAAAGGCACGATCGACAAAAAGGGGGCACTTTGCACTGTGAAAAGAATGCGCATCGACTCTTTTCAGCCGTTGTATGCCGTGCCATGTTTCTAAACTTGAATAGTTTCCTGGGCCTTGTTGGCAGTGGTGTGGAAACTGGCTAGAAATACTCATTTACTATCACTAATCAACACTTTTATAACTAAACACTATCCGTGGCCATTCTGCTCTGAATGGAGGGCTATGGAAACCCAGTACATGTAGGCTGGTTTTGGAAATTATGCCCATGTCCTGCTTCATATTTTCAAATGTTGTGATGCTCAATGATCCATTATAGATGTTTTTTGTTTCCCCATGTGAAAATGTACTGGTAATCTTGTCAGGATGTGTAGAGTTTTAGTTTTTCCTCAAATTGTAGAAAAGTAAATAAGGTACCTCGCAGAGTTCTTTATTGACTGTCCTTGTACTTTAAACCTTGACATCTATGCATATTTTGTGTTTTGAACACTGGTACAACATGCCTCCTTTGTGTTTGATTTTACAGAAGTTTACCTTCAAGACTCATTCAAGCCTTTGGTATCTATATCTCCTAATGCAAGGTATTTCCATTAAGTTTCTCTGACGACTGGTCCTCTAACCTGTAGCCGTCCACAACCATTTATTTTGAGCCCCTCTTGGCCAAGAGGAATAGTTCTGGCATAATCCAGAAGTTGCGGTAATCAGCACCGACACCGCTATTCCAATTTATAAGTTTAATTTGTGACGGCTTGAATGGATGCTCGCCTATTTATTACTGTCATTAAGACATCTTATAATTACAGTGAAGTAGATTTAATCGTCTTAAACTCCTGGTAACCATGTACCAAGTCCAAAATTCATATTAGTCCTAAACATGGGATGAATGCTTGTTAGCAAGCAACAATTTGAGGCTGATATAGCATTCGAGATGGTGGATTGGCCTACACCATGCTAGGGTCCTCTTGATTTGCCCATTATGAATGTTTAATTGCACCACACCACGTACTTATTTTAGTGACGTTCAGATGAAATTCCATTTCCATGCCATTACGAATAATCAATAATTGAACCCTGGTCACTAGGATTATAGCATAGTACGTGAACCATTACACCATTGTTCTCTCTAAAGCATGTACACACGAAGGCAAACATCCACACACATGAACAGCAGTTGCCGTTCGCCACTGTATTGTGTTATGGTTTGCTGGTCCCTTGCAGTGTCTTTGACGCGGTATACTCGCTCATAAAGAACAAGATTCACCGACTGCCTGTGCTGGACAGCGTGGCGGGGAATGCACTGTACATCTTGACTCACAAGCGTATCCTCAAGTTCCTGCAGCTCTTTGTGAGTTACCATTGTGCTTGTGTGCTCTCGGGTGGGGTGGCAGGGATATTGATTTTTTCCCGTGCACAACTACTTGGCCAGTAATTACATCGCGTTTATATTCCCAACAGGTTACCCATTTGATCTTCGTGCTTAAGGATTTATGTCTCTCGGTTTCCCGTTAACCTGGCTTGTGTGCTCGATGAATTTGTATCCTGCAAGGTTGATGGGCATATTTAGTAAATTGGCATGTCCCCCATACTTTGTTTTTTTGTCTGGTTTATCTGAGAGTTCAGCAATTCTGTGCAGTGTTCTCTAGCTCTCATGGTTGTATGTAATTTGGGCTCGGATCTTTGCTGACGTCTGCGCAATCTGTTTCTTGGCAAGTGATAGTCCAGTATATCAAACATTAGCATTGCTCAGGGCCGACAAGACTTGTTTTTACAAGTGAGATTGAGCACACACAGATGTGGAACTTGCCCGATGTTGTATGTAAATACAATACGGTATGTATCATCATTTAGTCAACTCCGTATTTAACCTGTGAAAGGTGTGAAAATCTTGTATGGGGTTGTGTGTGAAATTGGAGTTAATATACATGCCTATGTAATTTCGTCTAGTGTGTGAATGTGGTCCTTGATTTAATGTTTGTACGCAGTTGAAAGTTGATTGTTCACTGCTAGTTCTTAACTTTGACTTGGCTATTAACTGGTTTGCCATTGTCCAGCTGCGGTTGTGCATACTCATCGCTGGTTTTCTTAAGGAATGACAGCACTTGCTGTGCATTTATTTGTCAGACTGGCTATGTCTCATTTGTCGTGGTTGTGCCTGCATTGCCTTGGCTGACTGTGTACATGCTGTGCTTGGGGACTGGCAGGCAACGGAGATGCCTAAACCGAGCTTCATGAGTCAGAGCCTGCAGGAGTTGGGTATCGGCACGTATAAAGACATCGCGGTGGTGAGCCCCAGCACGCCCATCATCAAGGCCCTCGGCATATTTGTGGAACGCAGGGTGTCTGCTCTCCCCGTTGTGGATGATGATGGTACGTTCACACCCCTCGGCAACCACTGGCCCCCACACAGCGCTTTGTTGACTCCACATTGTATGCGTGGGACACCCGAGCAAGGCGAAACAGTACAATCTGGTTGATGAGGGCTCTGCTGAGCTTTCAGTTCTCTTGTGCATGTCAGGAGGGGGGGGGGGGGGGGTTTCTGCCAGTTGGTTTCCTTCCAGACTGAAAGCAGAACCTGCCTCGTTGAGTATTGATTCTATGCAGTTTTCTTGGGTAAAATGGCATGCCATTTCCCATGTACAACTTGATACGTTCAAAGTCGGACAGGAGGTGGCATTGCACCCTTACGCTGTATTGTGCTTGCATAGGCATGTGAGCTTATGCGTTTGTGCATTTGCTGCATTACTCTGTCTGTGCAACTGAATTGTGCACGCAAAAATGTTTGATTTGGTTATTTTCCTTGAATCTAACTATCTTCATATTCCACATCAATGTGTTGGGAAAAAAATATGTAGTGGGGACCACTTGGCTTCATTCATCTAATTCTCTGGAATGTTTTTTAAACGGCTGGTTTATACATCCGTGATTAAAGTTGAACTCTTAGAGTTGTACTGCTTTAGTTTAGCAATGCCCTCCAGGTTACTTCCCTGGTGCTTTAGTACTGTATGGCGTTACCTTTTGAGGTCCCACAAGTCCTGCGCTGCTGTATCTGTCAGGCCACTTCCTTTGATCCATGTTCATATACTTGTCCCTCGAATAGCAATTTGATGTTTTAAATCACTGCTGTTTTAATGTAGTTATAATATGAATATGATAAATGCTGCTAAATTGAAAACGCCACTAAATTGCCCTCCACTTTCATTGCATTCTACTACACGACACATTCATTATCAATGCAATTGATTTCCAGGCATTAAATAAAAAAAGTTGTTTGCAAATTACAAGTGTGTCAACCCTAAGACTAAACTTTTGGTTTTAATTGTTAGTGTTATCGAATGTTTGAAGTGAATCAACTAACATGCGGTTACCAAACGCAGCATTTTTGGAGCTTGACCTGCCGATTGTGCAGTTGTTACAGGTATATTGTTGGCACAGAATTCAGACCTTCATTAAATGTTGTGCTGTTTCCTGGGCTCTTTCTCTCACACTCATGATTGAGGGCATCTTTTTTTATTTGGCTGTGCCCCAAAGGGGTTTTCAGTAAAAAAATAAGCATCCAAAGACCCTAAAACTGAAACTCTCATTATTTCAACTAAACCGCACCCTATGCAAGTCCCTATGTGGGCAGCGGTGCAGAGACAAATATCGGAGTGAAATGACAATGAGTTCTTGATGTCTGTCAAGTTGGTGATTGTGTGTGCATTTCTGTTGTTTTCATAGGAAAAGTTGTTGATGTCTACTCGAAGTTTGACGTCATTGTGAGTTTTGCCTTCCTGTGTTCCATTAAAGATGCCACCAAATAAGATAAATGGCAGATAATCTAAATTAGTTAGAGCTGGTGCCTGAAAAAAAATTTCAGGTACAGAAATCTTTTTACTATTATTTTGGGAGCAGTCAAATTGTTATTGTTTTTTACGTGGTCATTTTGTCATCAAAAATAAATGTTTTTTTTATAATCCTCGAACAAGTAATACCCAATTTAAACGCATTTACCTGCATTTTCTCGAGGCATTACAATCCCAGAATGAAAAGGCGTTTCTATTGAAGTATATAAAATATTGGCATCTCCTGGTCATCGTGCTGGTTTTGTAGCGACAGCACATACATAGCCTAGGCCTAATGTCATTGGTGTTGGTCCTCTGTCGGTTCATGAAAGAATATGGCAGCGGAGAAGACCTACAACAACCTGGACATCACGGTGACACAGGCGTTGCGACACCGCTCTCAGTACTTCGAGGGCGTAATCCGCTGCTTCCGCCATGAGAGCTTGGAGACAATCATCGACCGCATCGTCAAGGCCGAGGTGTGGTGCTCGCATTGCTCTTGGCTCTCACACCTGACTGCCTCTCCATGTGCCCTGTTGATCATGGATGGACTTTGTTTTTGTCGGACGTAATTACGCTGGCCAGTGCTGTTTGGTGATTGGAGGGGTGGGGGGGGGGGGTGCTCAGGACCATTTCAGACACCACTCCACTACAGATGTTGGCCATGACTAATGGCTGGCATCATGGGCTTTTATTCAGGAAAGCCTCGCCTCGTCTTGTTGGGATGTTTAAAGAGTTGATCAATGTTTTCTGCTCGGGATTAAATTGGAGGACATGTATACAAACTTGCACGTGAGGGGACATCCAATAAGTGTAGATGGTTGAGCAGGCTTGGTGCACTGCCATCTCTTTTCATGTTTTAGCACAGGGTTGTTCTGACAGATGTTATTGCGACTTGCTGTGAAGAGTTTTAAACTGGTGTTTCTTCATCTCATGACACGTCCAATAGCAATATTTGAATAAAATTGTGTCTCAAAGTTCTGAAATGAATATTGGTTATTTTAGGACCATGACACACGCGACCGCCTAAGGGAAGTTTGATGCAGCCTGGTCGTTGGCTTGCCTGCAGGTGCACCGACTGGTGGTACTGGATGAAAAGGAGGTGGTGACGGGCATCGTGTCCCTTTCCGACATCCTGCAGGCCTTGGTGCTCACACCTGCAGGTATAAACGCGCTGTGGTCCTAACACATCCGTGCCACTGCCTCCTCCATCCAGCGCAGGTAGAGCGAGCGAGCGCCTGCCCGCTGAGCTGTGTGCCGTGCTCTCCCTCCCCCGTCACATTATGGAATGGAAGATCCAATTGGTGGAGTTGGGGAGCACTTCAAGCACGTGTGTGTGTGATTTGCACCTGGGGTTGTGTGCTTTGGTGTTGTGCACTTTGGAGCATAAACGGAACAAATGCATGTTTGCACATGTATCTTTGAGCCTGTGGGTTGTGGTGTTTGTTTTTTGTCCTGTGTTTATATTACTCCTTTTATAGGACGTTTGCTCTATTATTCACAATTGTCTTAAGTAAATGTTAATACAATTAGTTGATGCTCATTTATAGGATGAACTATTTTGCCCACTTGTTGCATAAAGTAAAATTGTGCTACTATTAATTATAGGCTTTTTTAAGTCTTAACGCACTTATTTAGCTGTAATCGTTTAAAGCAAAATGACATGAGGTGAAGTAAAGTGGTTAATAATAAACAGTTGTACAATCATATCCCATGTTATCAATTTAAAATATTTATTTTTTAGCGAATAAGCCATGAACAAAGTCCTGGGTAAATTTGAAATGATCATTGTTTGTAATTGTCTTAATAACAGGACACAAGCCCTATTATAATATACAAAATAGTGCAGCCCAGCCAAAAGGCTTCTATGATAATGTAATTCAGCTTAAGAATGTTAAAGGCTGACAGTCGACAGGAGTGGACTTTGGATTCCAAATGACATTTTTCAACCTTTTTGAAGGATGTTCACAGCAAAGTTTACATATAATAGAAAGTACATTTTTTTTAACTTGCCTTTTTAACACCTAGCTTCCTCTTACCCAAATGATCTTAGACTTGCACTCCTTGCATGGTTTGCAGGTTATAATGAATTATGTATAAACTGAGTTGTATTAGCTAGTGTCTCTTGCAGCACAGTTGGCAAACAGGTGTGGTACATTTATGAGGGGTTTTAATTGCGAATAATGATTTGTGAAGTTATATCGACTGATTGGAAGTTCTTTTTTTTTAAATACAGTTGCCCCTCATTTCAATTAGCCTAGAAATACACAAGTTAGAACCCTCTCTGAAAAGCACCAGGATTTAAAATACATGCAGCATGTGGGTAAGTTTGATTTAAAATACATGCAGCATGTATTTGAAATGGGTAAATTTGGTAGTTAATCTGTTGAAATGACTTCCACTAGCTTTTTTACAAAATGTGTTAGTTTTTATCAACTTTTTATGTATATTGCATACTTCCACTGACAACTTCATGGCAAAGACCGTCAGTCCACTGGACAACCACTGTTGACTTCCCACGGTGGCACTAATTAGACCCCAAAAAAGATGAATGGCCAAATAGACCCCTAACCAGGATGTGGACTTGCAGTCTTCAACACAAGCAGATGTTTAAGATGGGTAGCTTTCTTAGGAGGTAAAAGCCTCTTAAGGACAGGTTTGTGTATGGAAATAATAAGTACAATACTGTGACAGTGACTTGATAATTATTTGATTACAACTTTTCTTTTTTCCAGGTATTCCAAAGAGAAATAGATGGGAAATGCAAGACTCCAGCACGAATGTCTGAGTTGGCCGTTCATAATTCCTCATTCCATCACTCTTGGCCTCTAGTTTGCAACCGATATAGTCTGGCTGAATGAAGTTGTATTTTGTGTTCTCTTAGCTATGGAATAAGAGAGGCTTGTATTGAAAATGTCAAACTGCTGATGAAGGCTAGCGACAGGTGCAATGTGTGTCGCTTTCTTGAGATTTGCCCGCTGAAATGTCATAAATATTCTTTCATTGCTGGCTTCTCTGCCCATGATGCTGGCTTCTCTGATGGCGCATATGCTCGGCCTCTCAAAATGTTCAGCCATAATTATAACATTTTTAATTTGGCATTGCAAAAATCGGGTAATCCCCTTGGGACAATTATGAATTGATATATTTTTGTAATGGCTCGTATTCTTCACTTGAAGATGCCTATACATAGATCCATCTAAGCCTGACTTGCAGCCCTACCACATCTAAGGAACTACCTGTTCAAGTTATCTTGGGTGGCTCAAACTGAAATAATGAGCATATATTATTGTGGGAGAACTATAGCTCTTTGAACTCTTTGGGAATTGCCTGAATATCAATATTTACTTGGAGTCGTATCATTGGTGCATGACTCTTTTAGCCTACAAAAGCTTTCTTGTAAACGGGTTAACAGGTTATAAATATTTACACGATCTAACCCAAAAAAACGTCTATGGATGATATTAGTCGCGAAAGCCTACGTGTTTAACCGAGGTTTTATTAAATCAAAATGCCTATGCACACACCCGGCACTTGAAGTATCTGTAAGAGATTAACTTGTCTTGAATTTGTGTAACATTGAGAGACATTTACTTTACGATTTGGACCTTCAGTCATAAAATGTCTTCGTATTTCCTGCAAGCCATTCAGCATTGTACCTGCTACAAGTGTTTATACTAGGGCATGTGTGTGCATGATTTGAGCACAACATTCCCAATGAGTGCTGATAATTGATGACTGTTTTGATCACAAATGCCTTTCTCTGTATGTGATATATTTTTCTGGGGTTGTACTGTATAGTTCTAAATCTATTTGACTCCAATTTATGTAGCAGTAGAGTCTTCACTCACGTGAGTGTTGTGGCACTTTTGGGTTCGTATGTGAAGCACTAGGCATTCAATGTATGCAAGTCGGTCATTTGAGAGTAACTCTTAAAAGTTATGTTAAAGGGGAATTTTCTGTTGTGATGTGTAGCCATGTTGCACATAAGGCTGCCTTTCACCTACATAAATTGGAGTCTTGAATGTTTCTGCCTTCATTTAGAAGGTAAAATTAATGTTCTATAACAAACAGTATTACAGTATATGCCTTGTTTGGTTTTGAATAAATATTCCAATTGCATAATTTTCCTGGTCAAAGTGTAATTTGTAATACGTGGGTCCGCATCTTTAAGTTGGGTGCATAATAAACACTGAACTTTAACCAATGCTTCTGGTGCAGGGATGTTTTGGAAGAATGTATTTTTTTTACTACTGTAAATGTGTACTTTTCTGTATTTGTTCAGGAGAGAAATGTTTAAGCTCCAGTAATTGTGGTGTGATTTTGCATTTATAGACACGTTTATTTTTAAGAGCAGAGAAGGACAGGATTGTTTTGGTTTTTATTTTGGGTCTCCTGGGGAATGTTCCTTTACGGATGTTATGTTTGACATTAGTGATACTGTATTTAGAACGTTTTCCTGTTGCTATAATAACTTTGGCGAAGGCATATCTCTTTACAAGACTCATTCCAAATACAGTGATACCTCGGTTCATGAACTTAATTCGTGAACTGACTGGTCGTGAACCGAATTGGTCGTGAACCGAGGCACATTTTCCCATAGGGTTCAATGTAAATTCGGTTAATCCGTTCTGACCTTTTTTTTTGGTTTTTGAAGCACAAAAATATTAAACAAATGACAATACACATTACTGTAATACTGTACAGTATAGTAATGTATAAAGAGAGAACACTAACCTTGCTTGAGATGACTTCTGGCATGGAGGAAGGCAGGTGGGAGGCGGGTGGGAGACAGTAAGCACTCAAACGGGTGAACTGTACAATACAGTAAGTACAGTATTGTACAGTACAGTAGTACAGTACTGTATGTGCTAAAAAGCACACCAAAAATCAAAAAGTCACTAAAAGTGTCTTCACAGTACTCAGTGCTTCTTTCTGTGTCTCTGCTTCTCTCCACGATCTTCCTACAGGAAGTCACGACCATGTGACAGCCTGGAATTAGCATAAAAATGGCCGCGGCTCCTGTTCGTGAACCGAAGCGGAGTTCGTGAACCGGAGCATATTTTTATGAAATTTTCTGTTCGTGAACCGAGTTGTTGTGAACCGAAGCGTTCGTGAACCGAGGTATCACTGTATGTATTTTGGTACTTCATGCGATGGTTTTAATTTAGGAGATTTTTTTCTATGAATGTTTAATATACAAATACAATTTAATATCAACCATGAATCTTATGTTCTGATGACATGCCGATTTGGCACTTGGCTACGTACGGTGTGAAATAATTTCAACATACATGATTACCAATGTTAATAAACTACAGTAAAACTAGAATAACTTAACGACGAAGGCTGCACATTTGGCCTAACAACAAAATACTAAGAGGCTTGCAGAAGTCCAAAAAGTGATAGAAAGTGGGGGGTAAATAGTTGATATAAAAGGTTTCTGAAATTATTGACCCCCCCGCCCCCTTAAAAATATTCTTACCCCTGTGTAGGTATCTAAACGTACACACCCTACATACAACAGAGTAAGTAGTATTTATTGACTCTGTAGTTGTATCGACTGACTGTACAGTAGTATCTACTGAGCCAGTAGTAGCTACTGACTGTCTAGTAATATTTACCGACTGTAGCGACTACTGACCGTAGTAGTATCTACTGGCCCTACAGTACTATCTACTGACTGTAATAGTAACTACTGACTGTAGTATTTACTGGCCCTACAGTAGTATATAACGACTCTAGTAGTAACTACTAACTCTATAGTAGTATCTGCTGACTCTATAGCAGTATCCACTGACTATAGTAACTACTAACTCTATAGCAGTATCTACTGACTCGATAGTAGTATGTACTGACTAGCAGTATTTACTGACCGTCGTGATATATACTGACTGTTTTAGTATCTACTAACTCTATATAGCAGTATCTACCAACTCGATAGCAGGATCTACTATAACTACAGCAGTGCATACCGACTGTGGTGGTACCTGTTATCACTGCAGCAGTGCGTACTGACTGGTGGAACCTGCTATCACTGCAGCAGTGAATACTAACTGTGGTGGTACCTGCTTTCACTGCAGCAGTGCACACCGACTGTGGTGGCACCTGCTATGATTACATCAGTGCATACTGACTGTGGTGGTACCTGCTATCACTACAGTAGGACACGCTGACTCTATAGCAGTATATTTCGACTCTATAGCACAAACTACTCACCTGATAGTGCCGTGGTGAGGCCTAGTCCCGTGCAGAGCTCCCGGCCTCACCTAGATTGCCCAGCCGGCCGAGGTGGCACCTTGGCAGGCTGGGGGCTGGGCTGCAACCCCCGCCCCCCATCCCTCACCATCCCCCCTCCCGCGCTACAATAATACTATCTAAGTGCGATAATATTAGTATCTACTGACCCTATAGTAAGTGCACACATTGGGGTGGGGGAGAAAAGGGCATGACACTCTTTGATGAATTTACCTCAGCGTTGTGTATTTTTTTTGCATTTTAAACGTAAAGAGAAATCCCCCCCCCCTCCACCGATGACGCGTATGCGTTGCTAAGGGCAACCCCCGAGCAGCTTTCGCGGTGCGAGAAAATAATTAATAATAGAAATATCACTAAGTTGTTCATTTAACTACTTTAAAGTTGACTGACGAGAAAACCGAATAGCGCTGGCTCACCATGGGGCTTACGGCGTGGTACCCGGCAACTTTTTAAAAACGTGAACCCCATGGTTCGCGAGCCCAAATCCTTCGCAAGTTGCGTGCACGCAGACCCAGACAAAAAATTACGTTTATAGGTAAGAAGAAGGATGAGCGGTAAGTACCCGGCGTTGCCCAGGCGAAAAAGACACACACACACATCGACTTGCACACACTTACAGACATTGACCCACACACACAAACACATCAATTTACACACACACATGGACTCACACACAGACATCGACTTTAGATACACACACATGGAGTTACATACACATTGATGTACACACATCGACTCACACACACATCGACCTACACACACATGGACTTACACACAAACACATATCGACTAAGATGCACACACTTGGACTTACACACACACATGGACCCACGCTCACACATCGACTTACTCACAAAAATCAACTCACACACATACATAGACTCACACACACAATGCTCTACACACACATGGACTCACACACACAGACATCGACTTTAAATACACACATGGAGTTACACACACATATCGATGTACACACATACAGCGACTCACACACACACATCGACGCAGACACGCACATCAAATCACACGCACACATGGACTTAGACACACACAAATATAAAATGTGCAAACTTAAGTGTAAAATTTTAGTTGTCTACACGCACACACACACCACGCACACACATTGACTTACACACACACATATCGACTTACAAAAACACAGCGACTCGCACACACACATGGACTTACACACATACTAGATTTGAAGCTTTCGTGACTGCAAGGATTCCTATTCTTGGGTTGTTTCGGTAAAGTCACGTAGGTAAAAAATTACAATTACAAACACATTTAATGTTAACACAAAAAATGTCCCCTTCCGATTGGAACCACGTTGATAACATGACTTCTGCTTCTGCTGACTCAATGTCAGCCAAATGCAAAGCTAACCTGATTTCTAAATTCAACCTCCTATCTAAGAAGAAACCAGAGCCACACATCGCAAAGCTGGATGTCAATAAGACCGTTATTAATCAGAGTAACATCCCAATTTCTGACAATCTGAAAACGGTACTGGCCAAAGGACTAAATTTTGCTGTCACCCCTAAATATATACCAGTAGAGGATGTGATTTCTCAGATTGATGTAGCCCTCAGAGGCATAGGACACATCCATGCGGATGTAGCAAGAGCTGAAATAGGCACTGTTCTTAAGAATGCTAAGAAACCCACTAGTAACATTAGCAAAAACGAACGCTCTGAACTCGCGGACCTAAAAAAGAGAGATGATATAGTCATCCTCTCGGCAGACAAGGGCAATGCCACGGTCATCATGGATAAAGATTCATACAACAACAAAATCCTGGACCTACTTAATGATGGGAGTTACTCCAAAATTAAAAACGATCCTACTAACAGCCTAATGACAAAAACTAACAAAATCATCACGAGTTCGACTTCCCTAATCGAACCAACCAAACGTCCCTCTCTAAAACCCTCGGCGGCTAGACCTCCCAGACTCTATGGTCTTCCCAAGATCCATAAAGAAGGCATCCTGCCACGACCCATCGTGTCGACGATCAACTCTCCTACCTACAAACTAGCCCGGTTTCTATCAGATACTCTGCTTTCCTTCACAGGCAAGACCTCTTCGGCAGTACTCAACTCAACCCAATTAGTCTCTATGGTCAAGGACATGGTACTATCTCTTGATGACATCCTCGTCAGTTTTGATGTACTATCTCTGTTAACCAAAGTCCCAGTGCCTGACACCCTAACAATAATTAAGGACTTGGTCCAACATGGATTGTATTCGGATGTACCTGCTCTGGTTAGGCATTGCCTCACCAACACTTATTTTACCTGGAATGGCACCTTCTACAAACAGAATGAGCGTACCCCTATGGGCTCCTCTTTGTCACCAGTGATAGCCAACATGTTCTTGGAAAAGTTTGAATCAGACGCCATCCAGACATCCACCCTACGTCCTTCCCTGTGGAAGAGGTATGTGGATGACACTTTCGTCATTTGGCCACATGGCCTACAAGCATTGAACCACTTCTTGGACCACATCAATTCCAGACACCCATCCATCAGATTCACCATGGAAGTAGAGAAAGATGGTAAACTACCATTCTTAGATATTATGTTTGAGAGGAGACCTGAAGGATTCTTGGGACATTCTGTCTACAGGAAAGCCACCCACACAGATTCCTACTTGAAACCTGATTCCCACCACCACCCATCTCAAAAGAATTATCTCATCAAAACGCTATACCACAAAGCTAATGGCATTTCTGACCAACACCACCTGGCCAGTGAATTAAGACATGTACATCGGGCCCTCAGGATGAACGGATACTCTGACCGCACCATCCGCCAAGCTGTTTCTCCAACCATACAGAAACAACCACATGAAACTCCAATCAA